TCCTAGATTAGTTATTAATTATAAACCTTTTAATAAGTATTTTAAGTGGATAAGATATTCAATTCCCAAAAAAGGATTTATTGTCAAGATTATATGATGCCAATATATTTTTAAAATTTGATTTAAAATCTGGATATTGGCAGATTCAAATATTTAAAGAGCATACTTATAGAAGTGCTTTTAATGTTCCATTTGGGCAATATAAATGGAATGTTATGCCTTTTGGTTTAAAGAATGCCCCTTCTGAATTTCAAAAAATCATGAATGATATATTTAATCCATATTTGGATTTTATCATTGTTCATATTGATGTTATTTTGATATTCTCTAAAACATTTGAAATGCATATTAAGCATTTAGATATTTTAAAAAGAATTGTTATAAAAATGGTTTGGTTATTTCTAAACAAAAAATGAGTTTATTTCAAACCAATATTCGGTTTTTAGGACATTATATTTGTCAAGGAAAAATAACTCCGATTCAAAGGTCTATTGATTTTGCTTTGAAATTTCCCGATGTTATTACTGATAGAACTCAGTTACAAAGATTTTTGGGAAGTTTAAATTATATATCACCTTTTTATAAAGATTTGTCTCGTGATTTAGCCCCCTTATATGATAGGCTAAAAAAGGATTATAAAAACCCTTGGACTGATAGTCATACTATTTTAGTTAAAAATATTAAGCAACGTGTTAAATCTTTACCTTGTTTAACCCTTGCTAATCCTGCATGGCCAAAGATTATCGAGACAGATGCGTCTAATATTAGTTACAGAAGGATTTTGAAACAAATAAATCCAAATAACAGTCATGAATACTTGATTAGATTTCATTCTGGAAAATGGTCTGAAGCCTAGAGAAAATACGCTACTGTGGCTCATGAAATATTAACTATCGTTAAATGTGTTTTAAAATTCCAAGATGATTTATATAATCAAAAGTTTTTGATAAAAACTGACGCTCAATCTGTTAAATATATGTTTAACAAAGATTTTAAACATGATGCCTCAAAATTGATATTTGCAAGATGGCATGCTCAATTAGCCCCCTTTGATTTTGAAATTCAATACAAAAAAGGAATTGATAACTCTCTGCCAGATTTCTTATCTCGTGAATATTTACAGGATGGAAGCCCTATGGGGTAGAGGTAGAGGAAGGGGAAAATCATCCCCACATTCCCAAGGAAGAACATCTCCTTCAGGATCGTCATACGGATACACATCAAAGTCCTCTATTATACAAATGGGAAGGAGGAGCTTGACTAATGAAAAGATATCTCTCAGAGGAGAATCCTCAATTGGACCATCTGTTCACCTGTAAAATATTCCAAAAGATAGTCCGTTATACGCACACTTGCAAGCATATTTGACTGCTCAAAAGCAAAGTGATACTTTTGCTTCAATTACAAAAGAGGACAATGATGATATCAAGTCCAATGAGAAATTGCTTAAAAAAGAAATGATATTTCTTTTAGAAAATACGGATATTCCAAGGAAAGAGGAACCATGAAAGATATTCCAAAGATATTTGATAAATGGATTATATTATACGGGTGAGTCATACAAAACCCGTTGTTATCATGAGAGTATTCTCACTAGTACAGGCAGTGCAGAATTTCAGCACTTTTCTGGTTATAGCACAGATGAGAATGTTTATAACTTCTCGAAAATCATTATCAAACAGGTTATATCTGTTGAAGATTGGAGTATATCTATAATGAAAGAAAGGCAGATAAGCCTTAACAAGTCCCGTATGAATTTTACCTACTGGGATTATATCCAGGCCTTTGATAAAGTGCTCTACTACAATAATGATAGACATAAGCATATCTGGTTTATAAAAGTATGTGCAAAGATATTTGCAGAGCCCATTCCCAATTGGTTTCTAAACTGGTGGTCATACCACAGTCCGACAATCAAGATATTACCAGATCCATTTCTTATGTTATACAAAGAATGGATAAAAGTTTCGCCAGTTATAAATGAGTTATGCCATACAGATCATATCTGTTACTTAGAAAAGGTTGACCAGATATATTTCTTTTTAGAATTCTCTATTCCTTGGATTCATAAATGGACTGCAGAGGTAGGATTCACCGAAGAACAGATCCCTTGTTTATACAGAACCATTTATAATAACTTATGGGATAAACTGATGAAAAAGGATCCTAAAACAAAGACGTTATACGGTCAAGAACTTTTGGATTACATTAAAGCAAAAATCCAAGAGTATTCGAGCAACCCTCAGAAAGAGAAGATTGATGATATCTCAGTTTGGCATATTGCCAGAAAAATCTCCTTTCAAGAAGGGGATAAAGAATAAATGATTAATGACTACTTGGAAGAAGTAAAAAAGAAATTTGCTTCGTTCCATCAATCAATATGAGAAATCAGTCACTTCCATGCAAAGTGAGACCAGCAACGATGATATCGCAGATGACTCTCAACCTATTGAATCAGAAAAGATATTATCTGATGAAGCCTTACAAGATGCGGAAGAATTCCTCCGCAAAATGAAAGAGAAGGAAAAACGACCACACAGTAAAGCCGCCGGACCCCACTGCACAGTGAAGCCGCCGAACCCAGCCACTGCATCCCACTTAACAGTAGATAGACTGTTTCAACAGTAAACATTGTTCATCAACAGTAGAAATACTGTTCATCAACAGTAGAAACACTGTACAGGGACACATGTGAGACCCTTTTTACTGTTTAAAGATTCTTTTTCTTTTCTATTTATATAAGATAGATATGAAGTATTCGACATAGATATGTTTCTTATGATGGATTTAGGAGAAACTAGTATGAAAAATATTAGGTTGGAAGAGGTAGATATACCTCAAAACCTTGATTTGTTGAACAAATGGACGATTCCTAAAGTCCCTATTAGAACAATCTATGATTATGGATGGTTTGATAAACTTTCTGCAAAACAGCTAGTTAAAACTACTGAGCAATCTTAAGCTTTAAATTCTTCTGAACAGACTATTCGTTTGTTAAACAAGTATGATATAGATGTTTATAAAAATCAGTATAATTATCTGCATGTTGGTATGGTTCAAATTGCTTTTAAGCCATTAACCCTTAAAGGGTTACCAGAGACCTTTTTGGCTGCTCTCAGAGATGCTAGAAATATGAATTTTAGACAGTCTCTGATGGGTTCTATTGAATCTACTGTGGCCTACGGTCCAGTATATTTTAATACTCAACCCAATCTTCAATTGTCTCTATCTGACGTTAATATACTTGATGCCTTGACATTAAATGTGAAAATGCATGGTTATAATTATGCGCCTGGTTCTGAACTTATATGTTTATCGTATAGAATTTATTTCAAATTGCTATCTACGTTAAACCCTAGATGTAAATTATATGATACATCTGATCAGACTATATTAGTGGAAACGAAGTTTGCAAAGTCTAAGGTCACCACGAGGAGACCTATTAAGTGGGAAGAAATTAATTTCCCAACTACTTGGACTTTGGATTCGGTTATATCCCCTAGTCATATAACTAATGCTGTTAGTAATACTGAATATTCTCATATTACTCAAAATCCAGATGGTCAGATTTGTATTCAGTTTGATGAAAATATTTCCACTTATAATAGGCAGTTATTTTCTAATAATAGACTTTTGCCTGCTATTAGTTCTAATTATAATAGACATTCATTTACCAATCGTAGACTGTTGCCTGATATTCAACATATTTCACCTGTTGAACCAGTCTATGGACCAGCTAGAAATCGTGCTGCATCTTTGCATACAATTTCTACTAAAGTGGGTGATAAGGCGGTTGAGAGAGTTAAGATTAACCCCCAAACAAATATTGTTCAGGATAGTGATAATATTTCTGATAAGGATATTCCTTCTGCGTCCGAAATGGATTTCAACCTCAATGATGTTTAATAATCCCACACCAAATAGATTTTAGTCCAGGGTCACAAGCTAGAAATTATATTCAAAAAGATTTTTTCAGTGATAAATGGAACCGGTTTAAAACTTGGTTTTTTGATACTTATAGTAAAAATGATTTAAACAATATTTCTCAAGAGTTTTATGAAACTTGTGCTTTACATAATCAAATTATGTATTTTGTCCCTTGGTTTATAACCACCTATTTACCACTTTATATAAAAGTTTTGGAAAGATCTTATAAAGACGGGAGTGGAAATATTACTAAAGCCATATACCATCCTCAAGCACCTTTTGTTTTACCAAATAATACAAGTATTACATTTACTACATTTCAAAAATTTATTGATAAAGATGTTGCTGCAGTCAGCATCGCAGAAATTAATAAATTAATTTCGCAAAATAATTATTTGAGTTTATATGTTAAAGTTTTGGGTGAACAAATCAGTTTTCTTGATAAAAAACTTGATAATTTAATAATTTTGATAAAAGATATGAGTAGTAGCAAGATTTTAACTGATATTGCCTCTACGTCAGGAAGCAAATCAGAACCTCAAATTATTCTTACTCATGTTCAAAGACCCCCTGAGATTCAGGATTTTAAATTCAAATCTTTAAATGATTTAGAAGAACTTCTTGATAAAAAGTTATCCGGTTTGAATATCAAACCTATTGATTTATCAAAAGATTTTGCTGATAAATTAGATACTACTTTTGATTATAAAAATGAAGTTTGGTCAGAGTTTAATAAATTCAGAGGTTATCCCAAAAAGAATAGTAGGCATGCTGATAAACCCAGAATGCAAACCTATTATTACGATCGTCCTACTCCTTAAGATGTCTTAATAGAGGAACGTGATTGGAATCAGACTAATACGTCTTATAGTGGTTCCGAAATTTATGAATAGAATCTTGATGGTTTGACTGATAGACAATTGACTATTCTTGTGCATAGAATGCTTATGTATGCAACTATCTGTAAAAGTGTAAAAAATACAGATAGAACTATTTGCAAAATGATTATTGCAGGTTTTACTGGCCAACTTCGTGGCTGGTGGGATAATTATTTGTCTATTGATGAAAGGACGATGGTTATTAATGCAATAGCCATTGACGAAGGAGTTGATAACTTAGGCATGGCTCTTGTGAAAAATAGAGAAGATGCTGTTTACACCCTCATTCTTACGATACTAGAGCATTTCAATGGTAGATTTACCAATCAGCATGAGACAGTTCGTACTCTACTTAATGGTCTTAGATGTAGGACCTTAGGTGAATTCAGATGGTATAAAGATACCTTTATGAGTAGAGTTATGGAATTACCCGAGAATAAGTACGACCATTGGAAAACTAAGTTTATAGATGGCCTTCCCTCCTTATTTGCTGAAAGAGTTAGAAAAACTCTAAGAGGTAGCTATGGTGAAATTCCGTACAAAGATTATACCTATGGTAAATTGATAGGAATATGCACACAGGAAGGGCTAAACCTGTGCAATGAGTTAAGATTGTCCAGACAGCTTAAGATGGATAAGCTTAAGGAAATATCCCAATTAGGAGACTTTTGTACCCAGTTCGGTTTGCCCGAGACTTCTACTCATAAGAAGAAGAAACACAAGTATCATAGATACCCAAACCCAGACAGTCCTTATAAGAAAAAAAAGATCTAGATATAGATCCAAAGAAGAGCGTGATGCTAAGAAAACCTATCTCAAGTATACTAGATTTACAAAAATTAGGTCTAAGCAAGATCTTGCTAATATTAAGTGTTATAAATGTGGGAAATTTGGCCATATAGCTCCGAATTGTAAGCTTCAAAAGCTAAAAACCTTAGAACTAGACAATGAGTTACGTGATAAGGTTTATGGTTTGTTATACACTTCTGGATCAGAATATGATTATTATTATTCTGAGTCAGAATCGGAAGCTAAAGTAGATTTACTTGATTTATCTGATAATGATAAAAATATTGATAATACTTGTACAGCTTGTAGAGGTAATACATGTACCTGTGACGATGATGAATTTTATAAATTGCAATCTCAGTTCCAAGATTTGAATATGAAAACTATTACATCTGATAATGTAATAGAACTTTTCAAAGAAGTTACTGATGAAAGACTTCGTGAAAAAATTATTAATTTGGCTGCAAGTACTAGTTCAAGTTCGTCAAAACCTTTTGAAAACTCAAAAAAGGAATTTAAATATTCTGCGCCTTATTCTTTGTTAGAGGTTAATAACCATCTTTTAAATAAAAGTACAACTCCAACAAGAAATTCTTCTTTTGATGATTTAAAAGTTGAAGTTGAAAACTTGAAAAGGGAGATCAAATCTCTTAAATAAAACCAAATGATTTGTGATCATAGGATTACTCAGATTGAGAAAATCAATTCTGCATATGAGAAATCTGATGATAAAAACAAAGGTATTTCTGAAAATGATATTGAAGAAAAACCTATTAAGATTGATTCTCAACATAATATGTTTTTGGGAATGATGCAAATTGTTACTGCTCATAGATGGTATATTAAATGTACTATTCTTATTGATAATAATTTTTCTATTACAAATATTGCTATGATTGATAGTGGAGCTGATGTTAGCTGCATTCAAGAAGGTCTAGTACCTACTAAATATTTTCAGAAAATTACTCAAATGGTAAAGTCTGCATCAGGACATGCTTTAGATATAGAGTATAAATTACCTAATACTGGTATTTGTCAGAATAAAGTCTGCATTCCTCACTTCTTTTTCTTGGTGAAAAATCAGTTATACCCTCCAATTATACTTGGAACACCTTTTATTAACGCAATTTATCCTTTCACTAGCATAGACTCAAAAGGTTTTACTGCTACTTATAAAGATAAAGAGATAAATTATACTTTTATTACAGATCCCTTAACTAGAGATATAAATGCTTTAATTGATATGAAGCAAAGACATATTGATTCATTACAATTGAAATTATTTAGTATGAATATATTTGATACTTTAAATTCCACTAAAGTGCAGGAAAAGATCAAATTGATTTTCGAAAATATTGCAATTGATATTTGTGCTGAGCATCCTAATGCTTTTTGGAATAGAAAAAAGCATATTATCACTCTGCCATATGAAGATAATTTCTCTGAGGCTGATATTCCTACTAAATCTCGACCTTGTCAGATGAACACCAAATTGGTAGAATTCTACAAAAAAGAGATTGATAATTTGTTACAAAAAGGTTTGATAAAACCCTCAAAATCTGCTTGGTCTTGAACAACTTTTTATGTTAATAATACTGCTGAAAAGGAACATGGTATTCCTAGATTGGTTATTAACTATAAACCTTTAAATAAGTATTTAAAGTGGATAAGATATCCAATTCCCAATAAAAAAGGATTTATTGTCAAGATTATATGATGTCAATATATTTTCAAAATTTGATTTAAAATCTGGATATTGGCAGATTCAAATATTTAAAGAGCATACTTATAGAAGTGCTTTTAGTGTTCTATTTGGGCAATATGAATGAAATGTTATGCCTTTTAGTTTAAAGAATGCCCCTTCTGAATTTCAAAAAAAAATGAATGATATATTTAATCCATATTTGGATTTTATCATTGTTTATATTGATGATATTTTGATATTTTCTAAAATATTTGAAATGCATATTAAGCATTTAGATATTTTTAAAAGAATTGTTATAAAAATGGGTTGGTTATTTCTAAACAAAAAATGAGTTTATTTCAAATCAATATTCGGTTTTTAAGACATTATATTTGTCAAGGAAAAATAACTCCGATTCAAAGGTCTATTGATTTTGCTTCAAAATATTCCGATGTTATTACTGATAGAACTCAGTTACAAAGCTTTTTATGAAGTTTAAATTATATATCACCTTTTTATAAAGATTTGGCTCATGAAATGTTAACTATCGTTAAATGTGTTTTAAAATTCCAAGATGATTTATACAATCAAACGTTTTTTATAAAAACTGACGCTCAATCTGTTAAATATATGTTTAATAAAGATTTTAAACATGATGCCTCAAAATTGATAATTGCAAGATGGTAGACTCAATTAGCCCCCTTTGATTTTAAAATTCAATACAAAAAGGGAATTGAAAACTGTCTGCCAGATTTCTTATCTCGTGAATATTTACAGGATGGAACCCCCATAGGGTAGAGATAGAGGTAGAGGAAGGGGAAAATCATCCCCACATTCCCAAGGAAGAACGTCTCCTTCAGGATTGTCATACGGATCCACATCAAACTCCCCAGTTATACAAATGGGAAGGAGAAGCTTGACTAATGAAAAGATATCTCTCAGAGGAGAATCCTCAATCGGACCATCTGTTCAGCTGGAAGATATTCCAGAAGATAGTCCGTTATACGTACACTTGCAGTCATATTTGACTGCTCAAAAGCAAAGTGATACTTTTGCTTCAATTACAAAAGAGGACAATGATGATATCAAGTCCTATGAGAAATTGCTTAAAAAAGAAATGATATTTCTTTTAGAAAATACGGATATTCCGAGGAAAGAGGAACCATGGAAGATATTCCAAAGATGATTGACGGATTATATTATCCGAGTGAGTCATACAAAATCCGTTCTTATTATGAGACTATTTTCACTAGTACAGGCAGTGCAGAATTTCAGCACTTTTCTGGTTATACCACTGACGAGAATGTTTATAACTTCTCGAAAATTATTATCAAACAGATTATATTTGTTGAAGATTGGGGAATATCTATAATGAAAGAAAGGCAGATAAGTCTTAACAAGTCCCGTATGAATTTTACCTATTGGGTTTATATCCAAGCCTTTGATAAAGTGCTATATTACAATAATGATAGACATAAGCATACTTGGTTCATAAAAGTATGAGCAAAGATATTTGCAGAGCCCATTCCTAATTGATTTTTAAACCGGTGGTCATACCACGGTCTGACAGTCAAGATATTACTGGATCCATTTCTTATGTTATACAAATAATGGACAAAAGTCTCACCAGTTCTAAACGAGTTATACCACATAGATCATATTTGTTACATAGAAAAGATTGACCAGATTTATTTCTTTTTAGAATTCTCTATTCCTTGGATTCATAAATGGACTCCAGAAGTAGGACTCACCGAGCAACAGATTCCGTGTTTATACATGACCTTTTATAATAATTTCTGGGATAAACTGATGAAAAAGGATCCCAAAAGAAAGACGTTATGCGGTCAAGAACTCTTGGATTCCATTAAAACCAAAATTTAAGAATATTCCAGCAACCCTCAGAAAGAGAAAATTGACGATAGCTCAATGCGACATATTGCCAGAAAGATCTCCTTTTAAGAAGGGGATAAAGAAGAAATGATTAATGACTACTTGGAAGAAATAAAAAGAAATTTGCTTCGTTCCATCAATCAATATGAGAAATCAGACACTTCTATGCAAAGTGAGACCAGCAACGATGATATCGCAGATGACTCCCAACCTATTGAATCAGAAAAGATTTTATCTAATGAAGCCTTACAAGATGCGAAAGAATTCTTCCGCAAAATGAAAGAGATGGAAAAGCGACCAGCACAGTGAAGCCGCCGCACCCTACCAGCAACGATGATATCATAGATAGACTGTTTCAACAGTAGAAACACTGTTCATCAACAGTAGAAACACTGTTCACCAACAGTAGAAACATTGTACATGGACCCATGTGGGACCCTTTTTACTGTTTAAAGATTCTTTTTCGTTTCTACTTATACGTTCATTCTTTCAGAGAAGGAGGCAGAAGCAAAACCTCTCTCTCTCTCTAAAATCTCTCTCTCTCTCAACTGTAAGTACTATCTGTAATCGAAGTTCAAGTAAATAAAATCTCAAGTTCTTCGTCTTCAGGCCTTGTATCCCGGCCTCAAAAGGTATTTATTTTTACTTATAGTATTTCATCTAGTCTCTCCTCTCTGGCTGTGACTATGTCTGGCTCAGAGACTTCATATCTATGTTGAATATCTAACTTCTCTCCTATATAAACCATGAAAGAGACGGCATCTATCAAAATATAAATGAGTTTTATATATAGTATTTTGACTTGGTTTCGAGATGGTGGTACAGTCTAATATAGCACTACTCTTATTGGCTTTGCCTTAGTGGCTCCGTCTAGCCAGCCGTGAACCTTTGCCCGTTGAATGAGTTGAAAAGGGCATTTTCTTTCACGGTTAGAACTGCTAGATACATGGGCTCAATAAGAGTATGTATTATATTAAGACAGACCCCTTTGCTTGAGTAAAAGGTTAGACCTTCCATACAGTCATTAAACTATATAAAAAATTCTTGTATATTTCGATTCTTATATCCTTACTGATTGTGCGGATTACCGCCAGTCTTTAAACATAAGGATACTGAATTAGCTAGATTGGGTACTCTCAAGGTTGTTAAAATAGAGATCTTTAACTGATAAAAACCTCGGTGGACATATAATAGTCAGCAGAGGTGTGAAACAATTCTATTTCCCGATAACTCGGTGATCTCTGTTTTAGCTAGANATATATAGTAAGATGTATATATAGTATTTCTTAAGATGCATACTATCGAATATGGCTTATATACTATGTATATATTGTATAGTATATATATACTATACTATACTATATATACATCTTAAGATATACTATATATACATGTTAAGATAGTTCGTGGTCCCAGTACGGTTCCAACAAGAAACCCGCGAAGCCCGGGACCGCTTAGGACCAACCTGCCTAGTACCGGCCCACTTAGGACCGGGCCCACAAAGCCCACTTAGGACCGGGTCCAACCCACATGCTACCCTTATTTCCATCTTTGACTTGTACGGTGACTGCATACCATGATTTGCTCACTTTCGTCCATTTTCGTTGCTTGCATGATCTCAGCCACATGAAAGGCGACCACATCTAATCCTTCTATGAAAGGGATTGCATGCTCCAAATAAGCTGACCGACTTCACTCCCCATGTATCACAATCTCTTGGAAATCCTACTTGAATTTCGTACACTGGTGTGGAGTGGAAAGACCTGCCCCTGACATATGTATCCAGGGACTTCCTAACAATAGGTTATACAAAGACAAAATGTCCATCACTTGAAATAATATTGGGAACTCGATCGGTCTAATCTGTAAGGCTAAGTATATTTTTTCCGATGACATCCTTCTGCAACCCATCGAAAGCTCTTACCCTTACATGGCTTTCTTTCACTTTCCTCAAATGGATACCTAATTATCGCAAAGTAAAGAATAGGGAAATGTTTACTGTGGTCGACAAGTACTTGAGACACGATTTTATTTCTACACTTGACCGTGATGTGTAGAGCTTTGTTAGGTCCATACCCCTCACAGGAAGTTCATTCCTCTGAAAGGAAATCATGTTTTCTTCGACCATCTTTCTAATGGTTGCTGCTAGTGCCTCGCTGATAGTATTTCCTGACACACTTACTCCGCTTAAAAACTTCACGAAAGCATCCCTTTGACTGTCGGAGCTCATCAACAAGTCCACGATCGATATGTGTGGGGGGTCTTCCTCAACTGTTCTTCCACGAAGTACTCTCTAACTTGTATCTTCATCTAAAACTCTACTGCCGCAGTGTCAATTATGTTTCTTCTTTGATTTTTTTCTCTATTCTGGTTCCCTCAGTTTACCTCTTATGGAGCTTAACACCTTCCCGATCTGGTCATCCCGTAAGCGGCTGCGATGTCTGTCATTTTTCCCTTTTACTTTGACTAGTAAGTCCATGGAACTATTTTATATTCTTGAGTCTCCTCATTTCTGACGGTGGCGATGGATCATTGTTGTAACAACCCAACCGATCATTTTGACTTTTAGAACCCCGTTACCCTAAATAAAATTTTCTGTATATGCTTTTAATGATTTTTGACTTGTGGGGATGGTTGGTTCGGGATTTGGAAGTGCTTGGGTTGAAATCGGAACACTTGGTTCCTTAAGTTGGCTTTAAAAGGCTAAGTTTGACTTTGGTCAACATTATGAGCAAACAGACTCGGATCAGTATTTTGACAGTTTCGGTAAGTCCTATCGTGATTTGGGACTTGGGAGTATGCCCGGAATCAAATTCCGAGGTCCCTAGCCCGAGATATGGAATTTTGATAAAAAATAAAATATTTAAGTTCAAATAGTGATCGGATGTCTAATTATGTGAAAAAGACCCTGGAATAGAATTTTGATGACTCCAACAGCTCCGTATGGTGATTTTGGATTTAGGAGCATATTCGAAATTTTATTTGGAAGTCCATAGTTA